GGGAGAGGTGTGAGGTTCGAACTCCAGCAACCTGAGGCTGACAGCTTTGTGGAAGCAGCCACTTAAAGGCCTGAGCTAGGGCCAGGCCCCCCATTTTTGTTTTAAAAGATAGCATCTTATTATGTACAATAGGTTGGTCTAGAATTTGTAATCCTCTTGCCTCAGCCTGCTGAGTGCTGGCATGACAGCTACCATGCCTTGCTCGAACAACTTTTTTCAGAAAGAACACACTTTGAATGGGAAAATTATGGTGAAAACCTAGGTATCTTGAGTCCTAACTGAAGTGCTTTGCCACCAGGTCTTAGCAGGGCTTCATAATTTCTATTATGGCCCAATAGGGATTTCCCCAATAGGGAAATTCTTATTGTCAATATCAAGTTTTATAGAGTTAGATATAAAGTTCTGAACCCACAGATCAAAGTGACAAATTTGATACCACTATCTGAAAGAATCTAGGAAAAAGTACCGTATGTTAGTGTAGATCACTGATAATGAATCTTTTAGTTTTCAATTATGACAAATAGCTGGCTGCGCCACATGTGCCAGAGATTTACCATCACTAGTATAGATTAACTGGTGCTGGACACTGACTTCTTCTGTTGAATAATATACATTTATCTTATAAATTTAAAAGTTGTCATCTTCTGTGCTGTGTAGGGAATCTGGATGGATGTGAGCTTAAATCAGTGATGCAGGGTTTCTTTATGTACTGGCTTTTGAAGAGGTTTCTCTTACCATCATCTTATCCACTTCTCTGAAGGTGTTAGTCATGTGCTGTGCTCTATAAAATTATTTTCTTTATGATTTTAATTCATTGCATAGGTTGGTTTAAGATAAAATAGTAAACTTCTTCAGTCCAAAGTGACTTATTGTGAACTCCTGTGTGTTCTTTCATATTTTGATTTAATGTGTCTCCTATTGAGGAGACAATAGTTTGTTGTTGTTGTTGTTGTTCCTCCTAGTACTAGAGCTTGAATGTATCCCTCACGCATGCTAGGCAAGCATTCCACCACTGCTCCCTTTTTCATTTTTTATTTTTAGACAGGATTCACTGAGTTGCCTAGTTTGGCTCTTGCCTCAGCTTCTCGAGTAGATGTGATTGTAGGTGTGTGCTGCCACACCCAGAAAATTGTTTTTTTTTAAAAAGATATTCTTAAGGGGCCAGGGAGATGGTTCAGTGGATAAGTGCTTCCCTGACAAGCGCAAGAGCCTGAGTTCAATCCCCAGTTCCGCAAAAAAAAAAAAAGATATTCTTAAAAATGTGATTCCCCTATAATAAATTGAGTGCTTATGGAACTATGCTATTTTAAGTAAACATTACTGAAAGACTCCAGAAGAGTTATTCACTTTTTTCCATAATTTTATTGAGAAATAAATAGTAAGGAGACAGTTTCAAATCAAATTGGTAGGACAGTTCCAATAATTAACACATTGCATATTGCCTTCCTAGCTGTACAAGATGCAGACATGATATCCTATTTACAAACACTATTAGAACAAATACCTCTATTCATTGAATTAAGAGAATGTAGCTATATATCTATCCTAAACATTTTAAATACACAGATACAAAATAGTCATTCATCTGTATCCCCTTTTTTTGTTTAGTTCTGTCATTTAAATATTATAGGTATGTGAACTCAGCAAAATATTCCAAAATAGTCCAGTAGTATTGGGTCTTCCGCTTGACTAGCACTGTCAGAAGTTGTTGACCTGAGTCCCCTGCAGCTCAATATAACAGCATGACTTTACTTTTTTTTTTTTTGACTTTACTTTTTATACTTCACTTTTATACTTTTCTGCTGGATGGTTAAGACCAAGATAAGGCAAGACCTATATAACAAGAATTATAGCTTTTGGATCTGATAAGGTCAGTCAAATCCCCTCAGGATTTATCCTGAGACCCTGTACTTCAGATTGTAAATCCTTTGTCAATGTCAGCCATGTGGATGAGTCACGGCCATTGCTTGGCCATTTTGCTCTCTGTGACAGCCTGAGAAAATGTTTTCTCTCCATGTGACTCTCCTTAGACACATTCTACATCATCGATCACTTTCCTCTTTGGCCCCATAATCTCTTTGATCAGAAAATTTGGGACACAACTGAGTTATATGATGTAGTTATTCACTTTTTTGAGTATCCACTTGCTACCCAGGAGTGGCATAGACCCTGACAAGAATGGAGTTTACAGTTACTCTCTTGAATATAATTATCCTGCTAGTAGTTTACCTAATGGTGTTCCTCAGGACAGTCTTTTAAACTTGTTTGTTTGTTTTTTTTTAACTGTCTGAAATTGTTTATTGGGTTATGAATTTTACAAACATCACTTATATTATTAGCAATAACAGTGGAGCTGGAGAGTATTGTGCCTTCTCCAAGCTGCACGGCAAGAACCACCAATAGTGTGGTGGAACTTGTGGCCCTTTCCAAGGTCATGACTCTTGCAGCCTGCTGACTCA